CATCAGAGCTGACAAATGAAAATATGTGGAAGATCTAGCAATGACGGCGGAAAAGGCTGTAAGGGAAGGAAACACGAGACAATTGTACGAAACTACAAAGAAGCTCGCCGGAAACTATCGTAAACCAGAACGACCAGTGAAAAGCAAGGAAGGGAAAATAATCAGCAACACTGACGAACAGCGAAATAGGTGGGTGCAGCACTTTAAGGAACTATTGAATCGACCAGCTCCACTGAACCCACCCAACATTGAAGCAGCATCCACGGACCTCCCAATTTATATTGGCGCACCCACGATTGAGGAGATCAGTATAGCCATCAGACAAATCAAGAGCGGCAAAGCAGCAGGACCAGACAACATTCCAGCAGAGGCAATGAAAGCAGATGTGGAAGCAACTGCGAAAATATTTCACATTCTCTTCAAGAAGATTTGGGATGAGGAACAAGTACCATCAGATTGGAAACAAGGATACCTGATCAAAATACCAAAGAAAGGCTATCTGAGCAAGTGTGAAAACTACAGAGGCATCACTATTCTTTCAATACCAGGCAAAGTCTTCAACAGAGTATTGTTAAACAGAATGAAGGACTTCGTAGACGCCCAACTTCGAGATCAACAGGCCGGATTTCGTAAGGATCGATCGTGTACTGACCAAATTGCTACATTACGGATCATTGTGGAACAATCAATTGAATGGAACTCACCACTCTACATCAACTTCATCGACTACGAGAAAGCATTTGATAGCGTGGATAGGAAAACATTGTGGAGGCTTCTTCGACACTACGGGGTGCCTGAGAAAATAGTCAACATCATACGGAATTCTTATGATGGATTCAACTGCAAAATCGTACACGGAGGTCAGCTGACAGACTCTTTTGAGGTGAATACCGGTGTCAGGCAAGGTTGCTTACTCTCACCCTTTCTCTTTCTCCTGGTCATCGACTGGATTATGAAGACGTCAACATCTGGAGGGAAGCACGGTATCAACTGGACAGTTAGGACGCAGCTGGACGATGTGTAGTTGGCAGATGACCTGGCTCTTCTATCGCACACTCAACAACAAATGCAAGAGAAGACGACCAGTGTAGCAGCAGCCTCTGCAGCAGTAGGTCTCAACATACATAAAGGAAAAAGCAAAATTCTCCCATGCAACACAACATGCACCAACCGAATCACTCTTGATGGAGATGCCTTGGAGGACGTTAACACCTTCACATATCTTGGCAGCATCATCGACGAGAAAGGTGGATCGGACGCAGTTGTGAGGGCGCGGATTGGCAAAGCGAGGGCTGCATTTCTACAGTTGAAAAATATCTGTAACTCCAAACAACTTTCAAACAAAACCAAAATCAGGATCTTCAATACAAATGTCAAGACAGTTCTACTGTATGGAGCGGAAACATGGAGAACTACCAAAGCCATCATCCAGAAGATACAAGTGTTTATTAACAGTTGTCTACGCAAAATACTTCGTATTCGTTGGCCAGACACCATCAGCAACAACGAACTGTGGGAGAGAACAAGTCAGATTCCAATGGATGAGGAAATCAGGAAGAAGCGGTGGAAGTGGATAGGACATACACTACGAAAAGCACCCAACTGCGTCACTAGACAAGCCCTCACATGGAACCCTGAAGGCAAAAGGAAAAGAGGAAGGCCAAGGAACACACTACGCCGAGAAATAGAGAAAGATATGAGAAGAATGAACAAACATTGGACAGAACTGGAGAGGGAAGCCCAGGACAGAGTTGGTTGGAGAAAACTGGTGAGCGGCCTATGCTCCATTGGGGGTAACAGGCGAAAGTAAAGTAAGTAAAGTAGAAGAAGCCTGTAATACTGGAAAAATACACAGATATAAAAACAAATTGCCTCATTGTCAGCACCTTCATATCCTAATGATTTTGGGTGATTAGATAGATAAGTCTCACCCTTTTTTGACCTTAGTCGGGTAATCATGTAGATTTCTCATTCTTATCGTGAAGTTCACAGTGTTTTAAAAAGGCCAGCCATGCAACTGCTACAAATAAGATTCCTATACTCTGAAAAATCTGATGAATATAGCAAAGTTGCAATAGCTTATGAGTTCACTAAAGTGTACACATTATAGCATGTTACGTTTCTGGACAAATTGTCATCTTACGCGTAGGATCTGAATCGTCGGCCGTTAAGGTCTGTACGAATACAATTATAAATATGAGTGCGAAGCCAGCACACTTCAGCAGGTGATAACATGTACGGTAGGTAACAAGCAGTGTACATAGACAGACGATTCCCGAATGATTCGCAAGACGTTGATAAGGGTGGTTTACTCGCACAATATTTGCTTAGTGTGTAATTCTGCTAAAATAAAAATAAAATTAAATGAAAATAATCATGGGTGGGTTGAAAACATCGACCTTACCATCAGTAAACCCGAATTTCCCTTTGTGTTGCTAGACTCGTTTCAAATGAGTGAACTTTACGTCATATATTATATGTTATTATTTAATTTATTATATTTTACCGTCCTGGAGAAAACTACGAATATTTAAACAACTTATTATCATTTGAGATGTAGTAGTGGTAAGATGTTTGATGAAATAAGTAGTAAAGTGTAGGATTATTATAGTTATAAATGGGACAATAAATAAAGAGACGGAATCAGTGGTAAGTCATTTGAATGCATGTACGAACAATAAAACTGATGACAGGCAACAGGAAACCCGCAAGATTATGGGTGCGGATACAGCTGTTTGCGATCCGAACCGGATGATGACCTCTCAGTCTGAATGCATGCATGACAACTGGAGGTTAGGCAGCATATGGCGATGTCTGAGTGGCGACTCGTAGGGGCAGTAAAGTGTGTTCTTATCAGCCAGTCACAGATGAACAGTAGCAATAGACACAATGAGTGGTCTACCTGAATTGAAAATTAAAGAGATTTGTTGCCGACAGTAAGAATTTAAAACAACTTCAAAGAAGGAGAAAATAAATAATGATAAAATGCAGCTCTGAATCCGATGTAGTTCGAAATTGTAGAGAGCCATCAATGTGAAATCGAGTTGCGAGTGAATTCACGCGTCCCGAGGAATAAGTACAACCGCTATTGCGCTATTGCCCATCAAGTCTATTTGCCATGTGTATATTCGAGGAAAGGCTGTTCCACACCAATGCGATGCTGTTTTTTTCGGTGTCTATTTATTTTATATACATACACTTGGTTTCTTTTGAAATTCTTCATGATCTGAAAAGTCGCGCTGCGGTTAGGCAAAATGTAGTGACCTAATTCTACTGCTCGTCGCTGTTGTCATCATTTGCCCCAACGGAGGGCATGCTTGTTTTGAGATGAACGTATTTACTGTAACTCCATTCATGCGTAAACCATCTCCTTTCATATGCGAATTTTCTGGAATTATTGATGATACTTTCATTATAACGACCACAAAATGGTAAAAATATAGAATCAAAACCATTGTTTGTTTGAGTCCATAGCAATACAATTATAGTAGATGAATTTCAATGTCTCGTTTAACCTCAGTGACAAGCCTCTTCTTTTCGAGTTTTCTTCAGAAATTCAAACTCCTTTCATCATAATCAATGTCAAACTAGATTCTTCTGGATGTGGAGTCTACTGTATTTTCCTTGACATGTGCATATATATTCACTACTCTATCTATCTACGACAGTCAGTCGTTAAAATCCAGGTTCCTGCCAATATTTTAAACGTGCTTTTGTTATATTTTATGCACTGAATAACAATCGTATGATTGTTAATCTCCGCAAACTTAGCATCTAATGCTGATTACAAATTAGCCGTATACGAGCTGCTAACACTATTGCTGTAAGCGCCAAGCCTGGCAAAGTTAGTGTCTTTGAAGGTGCAACTCTAACATCTTCTGGAATAAGACGAAATCAGGTAACATTACATGGGGTATAACTGCCAGTTTCAGCAAAACCACATCGCCAACTTCTGAAGCATCGGTGAATACAAAAATTTGGCAAATTGGACGGACCATGTACAAGCATAACTCATACTGGGAGACCCCTAATTGTCCTAAGACATCGAGAAGTTATCTGCAATATCCATCCAAAAAGTGTTTTCTTCAGGTGGAGACTGTATCCTAACATTTTCTTCACCAATATGGACGTTTAAGTAACTACTTCCTGGGTAGACCAGGTAGAGCTAACAACTCCAGAAGATCACGGAATAAAGAAAACCTTGTGATGGGCCGTTTTGGCGCATGAACCCGAAGTGCAACTGAATTTTCCGGAATCTTGTAGAGCAAGGTACGCTCAGTCGGTAGCCTTTTAAAGTCAATTTTCTTTAAAGACTCCATTCCATTACTAACCCTCTGGTTAAATATGAATGCACCTAATGTAATGACTGAACCAAGAAGTTTCGCGAATTAATTTGTGTCGTTCATACTATCGAAGAGCTCACATAGATGTCGGAGTAAAAATTTCATCTACAATTCATCAAACATATCCATAACCTAGCTCCAGTGTACATCTGGAAGAAGAGACTCGACAAATATGTACTCGGTTATGTAATATCATCTCCCTATTGAACCATATGTGCCTGATGCATGCTGAAAAACTTGGTAGTTGCTATTATTTCATTCCTTTAGATCAACAACTTATTCTTTCTCGCTTATTATCTCTGTTCCCTCTGCCTCGAGTACACCACAGTACTCCTGAAAAATTCTTGCTACCAACTTAATTAATTAATTCTCTATTTTATAGATTCTGAAAACTTCTCATCAGCATTAGAATTTTCTTATCAATCCCCATATTTCCGGCCTGGTGATGTGATAGCTGCTGGTATCCAGAAACCTTACTGCTCTGAAACAAATAAACTCACATAAATCGAGGGACATATAAATCCATAAATAACTGCCAATTGACTAGAATCAATACATTCGAGTGACTAGACTACCATCCATCGGACACTACCAAATAACTAGAAATCAATTAGTTTATACTAGATGATAAAAAATATATTGAATATTGGAAACCGGTGATAATTATGATTCGCTGCGTTTCCAAAATGATCTTACTATAATAGTTCGGTTTCATGTGGTTATTTTGCCCCGACTCATTCGATTTTTATCCTAGTGCTTTAATAAATCGCCTGGTTGCAATCAATAGACTTGTGTAAGTGTAGGTACACATTTTTAAATTGCTCAAGGTTTTTTTTAAATAAACCAGGAATAGATTATAATGTCGGACAGGCGAAAGAACGAACACATCACATTAATAAGGGAAAAACACAAGTGTAAAGCATCTCATAGTAGCATTTTTAGCTTGCTTTGAGAAATTAGTGCGTTACCTTTTTTTTCAAAGTTCCAAATTTCTTTGAGTAGCTTACTTTTTGATCAAATACACTGTGAATTGTTAAATTTTCGCATTCGTCTACACTGTCCGCATACGATTATAGCCTGTGAGCCCTAATTTTCAGGAGGTGCTATTGTAACAATAACTGGGATGGCATTCAATCACGGACACATTTATATACAGTCAACTAGATTCGAAAAGTAATTCCTGGCTACGGAACACTGAAAATTAAATCTCAACATAACACAAGTGAGGGTGTGAATGTGTAATTTGGGGATGTTTTGTTGAAAAAATTGTGTATTAAGTAGAGATGATTTCCATAAATAACCCTTTTGCAATTGTAGTTATCAATCGAAATTTAAGTACAGCTCCCGCAATATTTATAAAAATAGAAATTTTCAACAAAGTTTGAATACTATGATCTCTCAGCATCTGTCGAATTCGGATACACGGTAGTTTTCACTAACACTGAACTCTTGATTCATAAAATAGACATTTAACGTTTTTGTTCCCAGTTACTATTTCATTCTGCAACGTTTCTCATGTCTTTGAGATAACCTTGCGCTACAACGTCATACAATTTCGCAAGTTGCTATTTAGTCACATAGGACGATAGAAATCGCTGTTAGTGTACCTGCTAACTACAACCGCTTCAACACTTTTACTTCGTACGCAGCTACAAACTATGCCCTCTTGAAGTTCCTGATAGTGTGAAATCACTGGCGAAATCATGTTTTATCACATATGACAAGATATACGGCATATAAGCTTACGTAGTATTGCTGTCTAACCACATCACTATACCCATCTAATAAACAAAATAATCCAGCGAATGTAGTAGACTAATGAGTTTGTCCTTCATGTCTTCTTACCAAGAACATGCATCCGACGTTCTCAGTCTCTCTTCAGACGACAAAGAGAAGTCTATACTTTGCAATCCATTATCAAGTGTATGTAGATGGTCACCCATCCAACTTTGACTAAGATATATGCTGCTGCATTATGTTGACAATCAAGCCTGATATTGCCCTTCATATCTTCTGCAGAACACCATGTATTTTGGCTAATCTAATACGTAAACTTCAAATATTGCTTACTCAGCCGCTAAGTGACTGCCAACAAAAGTTGGCCTTGACGTTTATGGCAACTCATTTATTTGTGTAGAGCTTATCTATTAACATTTACGAATCAAAAATGTCCACTTTTCAGTTGGTGACACTGTGGTATTTAGTAACCTAACATTCTGATGGTCAACAGGGTTGTTTTCATCCTGCTTCTCAGTCACATCCATGTCAATAGAATTATGCAAAATCCCTGATCTGTTTCAATGCCTCTATAATATATTGGAATATCGTACTTATTTCTTCGGGCTTTATTTAGTGGCATGACATTTTCGTCTGATAGAATATTTACATAATAGTCGGCTAATTTACTTAACAAAACCAGCCAGTTCTTGATAGTCTTTATTTTCCGTAGGGAATGAATTGCGAAATAACTGCACTAGTGGATAACCTGATTTTTGATGACTGACGTATTGTTATGTATTTGAGTATAGCTCCACATTTGAATATCCACAAAGTTGAAGCGACATACACAGCTCTCCAAAGATCCACTTGCCGTAATTAGAACTTGCTTCTTTCTCGGTGCATTGATGATTACAGGCTTAAGTAGTAAAATGTAAAAGTTAAGAATTAGTTCAAAATAATAAAGTGAGTAAGCAATACAGAAATATATTCACATGAACATACGTCAAAATGGAACTATTACCACATTATTCACGGTAATACATTTGAAGTACACATCTCTAGTAGAAACATACATCCGGTCACAACTAATTACATCACATAAATATATATATCACTCGGAGGAAATGATTATGTAAAGTAATTTTATGGCTTTGTGAGAGTTCCGAATTTAATTATTCTGCCTTCCCCAATGTCGATGATTGACCCAGGTTTACCGTATGCTGTTACTAAATTATTCAATTTAAATAGTGATTCGAGTACTCAAACGTAATTATTTGTTTCTTTTAGTCACATTGGACGGATGTGTCCGCAGTAATTACCTATCATGAACACATTATAAAACAGGGGTAACGATGTAAATTAATACAATCCGAAATGATTGATTGAAGCTGTTCAAAATAAGCAGTCCGTCTACATTAATACACAGTGCTTTTTAAATTCAGGCTAAATGCACTGCTTTATTGAATTCTCGATAATAATTAACGAGGTGAAAGCTGTATCATCGTATCAGCCCAATTCATCCTTGTTATCTGGAGGTTTAGCTAACTCGTTTCTAGAGCTTAAACTAGAAGTTTCGGTTCACTTCTTGATAAAAGTCAACTAGCTCCCGATTAAACTTATATATCATCTCTTTGGAGCTACCATCAGTAACAGCTCAGATTGGCTGTATCTATCGAGTTTGTAATTGGATATGCGGTCGATACAAAGTCCCGACCGAAGCTGCTACCTTGACGTGGTGGTCGGGCTTGCCTATCGTGATGACCCAACCGAGCTATACTGGCTGGAACACATGTTCCTGCAGGTCCTACCATGCCAGGCAGGTCGATTGGAGAACGATGAGACTAAAAGCAGCTACCCAAGGTCTGAGGGCGAAGTCGTACTGCTGACTGCAGAGGGGTGTGACAGCAGTAAGGTGTTTCCCTCGGACAACCAGCATCTGCAGCGGTGCTGCCTTCTCACAAGGAAGGAAGGGTTAGAAAAGGTCGGCCCTAAAAATGTCACACCTCCCCTACCTCACGGATTTCCGTCTCCTTGGGTAAGGGTGCCCACTAAGGGCCTTTAAGAACGGAGCTAATCCTCTAAATACCTCTCATAAAAAGGCCGTGCGTGACCGGCCTCAAGCAGTTGTCCCTTGGACTCTGCGGTCACGCACCAACACTAATCCATCTTCCTTTTCAGGTTCGTCAAGAAACAACCTTCCACGGTGTGGGCAGCCGGGAAGTGATAACCGCCCTCATACCCGCGACAGCACCGATACAAAGTCGATATTACTAGTTTCGTGATAGCCATTGAAATGGTCATGTCGTGTGGGTGGTTATGTGCAATCTATGCAACAGTAATATCAGTATTTGCTTACGATGATCATCAATAAAACCGTTTGGCCGCCATTCTTCCTTCCCCAGTAATCTATAATTTAAACTATTTTTATTCTCAGTGTAACTGGTTGCACGTTATTGAGCGGCTTCCAATCAATATTTGGTATGTGGATAGTTAATTTTAGGCTGATATTCTCAACTTGCAACAACAGCTCTAGTAATTAACATTATACTCTTTATGTCATTAAAAAGGTCCAAAAAATTTCAGACAAAGTGAAATTAGTTGGAAATGTCACTATCTGACATGAATTGAAATTCTTTGCAGATACAACAGCTATTGAATTTCGTATTAATCATAAATGTTTTTAGAAGATTTTCGACTTGCTGTTTAACAGCTTTTAATATAAATGGGCAGTAAATCTGATCACCAGTCGTTTACTTATATTCATTAGCTCTCTCTGTTTTTGAGCACACTGTTGGGAAATCTGGGTATGGTGATTCTTGTTAGATATATTAAACTTGTTCACTTGTGTCCTACTTGTGATAAGAAATAACTGCCTCTTACGTTGCACATCATTTAAATGAATGTTTTCGGCACTTTTTCATGTGTTTTAGGTAACATTCCTAGACCTAACAGATGCCTTATGGTACTTCTGTTCCTGATGCGTGTAAGTATCAAACGATCTTCGAACAACTTCAGCCAACACATGGAAAATTATCTGGAGAAAAAGTCAGAGAGGTTTGTTAAATTTTTCTTCGATGGCTGCGATTAGTTTAGATTAATGTAACTTCTTTGAATAAATTTTCTAAACTTTTTGAACTTGTAATACATCATATTGATTACAGCTTTAAAGAAGTCATAGTTATGTTCGAATGTTAGGAAAATTGGTAAAAATTTAATTATTAAGTTACTCCAAACTTCAGTGCTTTAAAAGTAGACATCCTGTTATTTTGCGACAATTCTATTTTCTTCGGACTTACAGTCCTGTTCTTTTATTGGCGTGAATCCTTTATGAAATTAAGAGGGCGAATTCTCTAACGTCTGTAAAATCACTGACTATGTCGACGACATTGTTATTTTTTCAAAAATACTGGCCTTTCGTTTTTCAAAGCTTATTTCTTCAGTTCATTGTCGCTAATGTATTAGTGACATCTCTTACTGAAAGTTAATTTAAACATTTCCAGCCTAGTCACATGTTGACCACATAGCTTCTTTCTTCTAAGAAATAAGCAGTTTAGAGTGAATAGTTTGTTAGAGTTACCGATAAACTTGGCAGTGTTATTGCTTGGTGGCTACTGGGGTTCGGACTTCATTCATATACTTGTGTCCGGCCACCAGTTATCGTCCTTAGCTGTTACTTAACAAATTCGAATCTTAGTTTGGTACATGAACCGATACTGCTGATGGAACCACTGGTTTTCTAACATTTCACTTATCATTTAATATCAAATATTTCTTTTAAAACGTGTGCGCTTCATCAAAAATATATACTGGTTGTTTTGATCGATCGGTATTCAAATAAACTTTCAAAATTTCTTTCGCAGTTTTAAGAATAGATGTATTATATACTTTCAAATGACATCACACTTCTCTGGTTTCAACGATTTATTTTCAAATATTCATTAGTCCGTTAATGAGTGAATAGTTCAGTTATAAACTAATTAATTCGGTTTCCTGACCATTACCGTACTTAGAAACAAGTACTGAAATTCCGTAAAAATTAGACCGTATGAGGACAACGTACCTTTTTATATCCTAGTGCTTTAACTTGTTACGTTTTCCTAACCATCGGCTACCTCGACGAGCTATATTTTGTGATGTTGAAGTAGGCTGGAATAAAGCTATGGATGGCCAAACCCAAACGTGGCCTAAATCCACGAAGTCACTGGCTGAGTTATGTTAGTATGTGTAGACAACTTGGTTGGGATCCGCGAAACAATGGTGACGGATGGTTAGCGACATTAAATGATACGGTTGGAAATCGCTTGCAACGGTGTAGGTGCATCCATTCTTTTTGTTCTCTCAAATTCCAGTCCTCCGAATTCCTCATCAACTTTCATTCGCTTTTTAAATTTATCTCACTGGATTATATACCCTAAGCAACAATGTAAGCATGTTCGAGTTCGGTTCTCAGCCTCGAAATGCAAAATGTTGCTTCAAGATAGGGTTACGTCGGCACCTGAGCTAGTCATAGGGAGTAAAGTAGTCGAACGTGTAGACCGCTTCACGTATCTGGGGAGTCTGATCAGCGCTGATGGCCTAGTGACTGAAGAAATATCAGCACGGATACAGAAGGCTCGATTGGATTTTGCTAATTTACGTGATTTATGTCACAGGCGAGATATCCGTTTGTTGACTAAAGGACAAGTGTACTGCGCAGTAGTTTACTCCTTTCTACGTTACGGCTGTGAATCATGGCCAGTGAGAGTAGAAGATATTCGTAGGTTACTGGTTTTCGATCATAGGTGTCTTCGAAGCATTACTCGTTTATCCTGGGGCAATCGAGTAAGCAATGCAGTTGTTAGGAAACGAGTTCTAGGTAAGGATGGCAAATCAATAGATGAACTATTGAAACTTCATCAGTTAAGGTGGTTGGGACATGTGTTACGAATGGCAACTTAAACTGATGTACGTACGTACAAAGCTCTACCTCGTGGCTGATTAACTGGTGCTTCAACTCATATATATATTTATTTATATAGTTTTCTGACAGTTAAACTATTGCAAACCAGAGTTACTTATTGATTTGGCTATCTGAACTTGGACGTATGTTTCTAAATTGAAACAGTGCTGGTCATGATTTCTCATAACGTACATTTGATTATAGTCATGAAATAACGATAATGATTATCTGAGGCCAACTAATACTTCTAGATTACTTACTCACTTACTATCTCCTGTTACCGCCAATGGAGCATAGGCCGCCGACCAGTTTCATTTATACACAGTCCAATAAATAAAAACATAAACTTCATGAAACCAGTCACTAAATTTCTTGTCGTCAATGTCCTATATATCTAAATGATTCTTGATTTTATCATTCGTCTGTTTTCCAGGTATTTCTGAAGTTTCAGTTACCAGTTGAAACTCTTGGGAAAATATGGGACCTATCAGATATTGATAACGATGGTAGTCTAGATCAGAGCGAGTTTATTGTAGTGAGTCTAAAGTGATGTTTGTGACTTTTAAATACTACTGTTCTTAATTTCGGTATGATTTTAATGCTTAGGGGTTATTATGGAGATGTTAGTTTTACCTTGAAATTGTGAATGAATCATTGTTAGACTACCGTTAGAAACCTGGCAGCATTGGACGTCATTTCGTTCTGGTATGGGACCCATCAGCAGTGCACATCCACGACTCCTGCCACCAGCAGGATTCGAACCCAGGACTAAATGGCCGTCCAGTGCTTCCAGGTTTTTAATGGTGATCTAACAATGATTCATTCATGATTTAAAGGTATAACATTGTCTTACTATAAAAATGCTTACCATAAACAATCATTTGAGCAATTTAAACTGTGTTCTAAAGGTTGAAAGGTCTTCATTCAGAAGAGATTTGACCCCTCGTGGTGAAACCTGAGTTTTTTCGGAGGTCACAAAGTTAATGCCACTTTTAATAACTTATGTAACAATTAACGTAGGCACATGCAATGGTCGCTTAAGATGTGACAGCGGAAGCTCCATCCAAGTAACTGCGAAAATGAAGAGCTGCGACCTGAAAGCACTTGTTATAATCGAGACCCATCGGACACAAGCTGGATAGAGGAGATTAGCTACAAGAAAGGTGTTGTGCTCTGATCATAAAGAAGAATATGCTTCACACAAGCAATCGCACTGTCTGAGGAAGCACAAAACTCACTTAAGAATGAAAACCTCATGGACCCAAGATCATCAAAACATCTTACAACACAGAATGAGAGTATTATGAAAGGCATGCAGTAATAAGCGTCATATTAACGGAGAAGACAAAGACCAGTTTTATGAGAGACTGGTAGAAATACCCACAAAAGGTCCTGACCATTTTGATGAAAGAACCGAACGTCAAGGTTGGATTGGATAACACCAGATGTGAAGAGATCGTTGGACAACATGGACTGGGAGAAAAACATAGAAATATTGATGGATTCTCAAATTTGTGTGCCTTCAACAAAATGATTATAGGTGACACTATATACCGCTGCAAATGCCTTTTGATTTAAGTGGGCTCCCAAATTCTGTGGCGGTGGATATTTGATATAACTTGTTGCTGTTCGAAAGACTGTTCAATAAGTTAATAAAAGGGGTTAGCCAAATTAAACGTGAACAAACTCAAACGTACATAAGGTGCTATAACATACACAAAGTTACACTCATTCCAGTAGAGCAAACTACAGAAGGCTAATAATAGGTTTAGAAGGACCATGGGATACGTGAGAGCAAAGTGGAGAGCTGATATCTCTTCAGATCACTCGCTGGGATGTCCAAGACGAAAGTGATCCTAAAAACGCAGTGGAAAAATGGTAATGGTACCTGAACTGGTGTTAGTGAGAGAAGTAGTTGAACGTGTTAACCGCTTCACTTATCTCGAGAGTCTTATCAGTACTGATGGCCTAGTGACTAACGAAATTTCATAGCGGATACAGTAGGTTCGATTGACTTTCGCCAAATTACGTCACTTATAGCGCAGGCGAGACATCCGTTTGTTGACTAAAGGACAAGTGTACTGCGCAGTAGTTCTCTCCGTCCTACTCTATGGCTGTGAATCATGGTCAGTGAGAGTAGAAGATATTCGTAGGTTACTGGTTTTCGATCATAGGTGTCTTCGAAGCATTGCTCGTTTATCCTGGGGCAATCGAGTAAGCAATGCAGTTGTTAGGAAACGAGTACTAGGTAAGGATGGCAAATCAATAGATGAACTATTGAAACTTCATCAGTTGGAATGACTGAGACATACGTTACGTATGCCTAACCACCAACTGCTTCGATGAGTGTTGTTTTTTCGTGTAGGGATGGGTTGGAGAAAAGCTAGGGACGGCCAAACCAAAACATGGCACAAATCCACGAAGTCACTGAAAAGTGGATTGAGCCGTGATGGTATTTGTAGACTATCTGGTTGAGGTCTGCGAGACGATAATAACCGATGGTTAGAAACCTTGAATGAAGTGGCTCGAAATCGTTTGAAATAGCGCAGGTGCGTCCTCTCTTTGTGTTCTCCCAAATTGATGTCTGATCTCCGCATGACCTTAATCTCTCTGTTCTTAAATCTCTTTCACTGTATTATACTTTTTGAATAATAATAATAATAGTGATAGTAATAATAATATAGAATTTGAAACGCCAGTTGCATCTTTGTGCTAATGTGGTAAAAAAAACTTGAACTGATGTACGTACGTTCCAAGTTCTACCTTGTAGCTGTCTGGTTGACTACTCTCGCTCCTTCTCTTTCTTCTGGGAGTTGACTGGATTATAAAAACGTTAACATCTGAGGGGATACAGTGGACTGCTCGGATGCAGCTGCAAATGATTGAGCCCTTCTATCCTACACACAACAACAAACGCAGCAGAAGACGACTAGTGTAGCAGCTGCTTCATCATGCACAAAGGAAAAAGCAAGATCCTCCGATATAGCATAACCTGCACCACGTAAATCACACTTGACGGCGAAACTTTGAAAGATGTAAAAACGTTTACATATCTGGGCAGCCTCATTAATGAGTAAAGTTGATCTGATGCAAATGTGAAGGCACGGATCAGCAAAGCAAGGGCAGCATTTCTACAACTGAAGAACATCTAAACCTCAAAACAACTATCAACCAACACCAAATTCAGATATTTCAATACGAAGGTTAAGACAATTTTACAGTATGGAGCGGAAACTTGTAGAGCTGCTAAAGTCTCCATCCAGAAAATACGAGTGTTTACAAACAGTTGTCTAAGCAAAATACTACGGATCCATTGGCCAGACACCATCAGCTGCCTACTAGGGGAGAGAAAAAACCAGATTCCAGCTGAGAAAAAAAATTAGGGAAAAGCGCTAAAGGTGGATAGGACACGCATTGTAGAAATTACTCACAAGGCAAGCCTTAACTTGGAATTCTCAAGGCCAAAAAACATGAAGCAGACCAAAGACACATTACTCCAGTAATTGAAGGCAGAAATCAAAAGAATTAGTTGCTACCGGGAACAACTGGACAAGAGGGCCCAGGACAAAGTTTGTAGAATGCTGGTCTTTGGCCTACGCTGTACCAGGGGCAATAGGCGTGAACAAGTGTATGACAATACCTCCAAGTCTCTACCTTTGTTCTCATCAAGTAAACCTACTAGTTGATTCTATGTTATCCTGATAGTTATTTCCAGATGTAATTCATTCATTCATAGTCATTAATTACTTTGTTGGACTCTTTTTCTTTTGCGTAAGATTGTGTTTGAAAGAATCTCAAGAGCCCTTGAAACAACATTTATTTGCTCATGAAGTAGTTACATGTTGATGCAAGCCTTCTAAGAAGGTTCATACTTCCTGATATGAGTGATACATTGTTTACTCTTCATTTTTCCTGATTATTTAGCACAGCATTTGCTACAAAGTTAACAATTTTAATTCTCATTAATTAGACTAAATTTTCCTTAGTCAAATAATTGTTACCAAAAATTTGTCGAGATATGTGAATTAACTTATAAATAAATATACATGAACTAGCTAATCAGTCAGTCAGCGATAAGTAAGCAACCTAAAAACCTGGCACATAAGTTGATGTATCAGTGACTAATCTTCTTAACTGTGGACTGTAATTAACTATATTTCTTTTTTTTTTCCTTCACCTTTTGGTATCAGTCAGTTTTCAACGAGATCAAATAAACGCAGATTTTTTATTTTCTTAAAATAGACAGATCATTTACTAATTGTATCAACTTAGATGTTTATTACTCCAGTTGTTTTACCGATTTTCTATCGGATTTTTCTAACCTTCACTTTGTCGTCACTCTAAATTAGTAATGTCTATATTATTCTTACCTTGTTTTTAGTAAATCAGTCGATCAAACACATATTTAACCATATGAACCCTGAAAATAAGTGTCATTTACCTTGAGTTTTCTTTAACCTTTCACTTCTCTCATTGTTATTAGTTTCAACTCGTTGATTTCCGTTTTGATTATTTCTTTTCTATAAATATAAATTTGTAATTTGAGTGTATGCACCTTTCCATCAGATCATATAATTTTTACAGTAAAAAGGGTAAAATGATAAGAATCTCCACTAATATGGTTTTTGAACATACTTACACAACCTAATCTCTATGACCATACTATGAGAACAATTAAATGTCACCTACACAATTGGAATTGATGATATTAACAGACTAAAAAGTTTGTCACATGCAATGATCTCTGTGCTAACAGTTGCTGTGAAACTGAAATATTTTCTGACCATCATATTTCTCTCTTTTTTCATGGCTAAGAGATATAATGTGTGTTTATTGCAATTTATATTCCTAATAACAGACATTTGTGAAATTTACCAATTATAAACCAGCATCATTTTTTAGTTTGAGATATTTGTCACATGCTACAATGATGCCGGTTCAAACTTCTACTAAGCTCTCAGACATTTGTAACATAATCCTATATTAAGCGCCGTTGTGAAATGGAAGCTACCTTGTTGTTTAGTTTGGATTTCACCACTATAACATTCTGACTTCACCACATAACGTCACATATTCTAAGGGTTTATACATTTCTTTTACATCTGACACTTTTTTAAAATTTGGAATTTTGCAGTTATTTAGCCCCATTAAGTTTTAATATAATTTTGATTGTAGGCTATGCATTTGGTCCATCGATCACTTGAAGGTGAAAAACTACCAGACAAATTGCCACAGAATTTAGTTCCTCCTGAAAAAGAACATTATTTCCAAAATTCTACGTCTATTAATAATACAATGTTATGCTTGCCACCAATTACCAGTGATGCTGAATTTAATTTAGCACTCGTCCCTATGCAATCCACAGAACTAAATTCAAAACAAAATACTGGATATATGTCAACACTTGTATCGGTGAGTAATTAAATATTTAAATCTTTATTGCTGAACCAAAGAAATTATTTTATATATCTCTACTTTCTCTAATATGGGTAAAATCTAATCTCTTGATACTTTGAAACTTTTTTTAGGTAATTCCGTATTTAACAGTAAATAAAAGAGTTTACATTTCTAAAAGTTGCCTAGACTATTATTCCCGATCGTAGCTGTTACCCTGACGTAGTGGTCAGGCTTACCTATCATGATAACCCAACCGAGCTATATTGGCTGGGGCATATGTTCTTGTAGATGCTATCATGCCAGGCAGGTCGATTAGAGAACGGTACGACTAAGAGCCGCAACTCAAGGTCTGAGGGTGAAGTCGTACTGTTGACTGTAGAGGGATGTGACAGCAATAGGGTATTTCCCTAGTTCAACTACCATCTGCAGTGATTAGGCCTTCTCACAATGGAAGGAATGGATCGGAAAAGGTTAACTATTAGAATGTCATACTTCATCTTACCTCCACTCATTTTCATCTCCGATGGTAGGGTCTTTTGAAGAGTGGAGCTAACACCATGAAAACGTCCCGTAATGAGGCCTTGTGTGACCGGCCTCAACCAGTTGTCCTTTGGGTTCTGAGGTCACGCTCCCACGTCACTAAGACCAGCACTAACAGAAATTCTTTTTCAGGTCCCTCAAGAATAAATCCCCTTCCATAATGTGGGAAACCGAGAAGTGACATCCACCTTCATACCCCTAACAGCGCACGACATCGACATGTGGGCTATTCTTTTATATAATCGTTGTGTTCTTTTTCTCATTGAAGCAAAAATTGTAATGTTACTGAAGGAAAGTATGAATTAACGTATGAAGTCATTGATTGTCAGTCTAAACCTTTTGTGGAAAAGGTTTTTAATCATCAGTGAAACGAAATTCTCGGTTTTTAAAATCAGTAAATCGAATGATCATCCATAGACCAACACCACGATATAATAGGACTGAGTTATGACAACTTACAAGATTATAATCGGCCTAGTCCTCTGAATGATTTGAAATCGAAAACATCGATAACACTGGTCAAAAAGAAAGATTTTCTATGTAATAAGATAAAATGCTGATGTACAGAATACGGACACAGAACAGGCTCGATAAAATGATATAGGTGATCGGAGGCAATCAGCTCGTTGGCCACTCCTTCTCCAATCGATTAGAACCTGACTGTTAAGTGTAATTTTTAGGCATCGTACTAAAATCATGTAATGGTTTAAATATTACGGTCCCTTGTGGATATTCTACTGTCTTATTATGGTCAATCAATTTTTGATGAAGTGATCCAAAACTTGGTCATATTTTCAATAAATCATATATGTATCCCATTTTCCATTCATCGTTATTTTTGTGGTGGTTTTACTCAGGGTCATTTGCAGTCAAAAGCACCTTGTTTTGTGTACGTTTCTGCCACCGTAATGATAATTTTTTCACATTACTAGTAAACAAACAGGTGGTTGACCTTCATAAAAAGGTATGCAATCTAGTTTGGATAATAATGCCAGTTTTTTACTCCGATCATTTGAATCAACTAGGCTTTCCCAACTGATAAAACATTATGTACACAGTCAACTCATACAACTCCAAGTGTCTGGGCTCTGTCTAGTCATCAACCTTATCTTCAGTCGTATAATTGTCCGGAATGGTCTATTTCACCGGAAGAACATTCCAAAAATTTGAGAGTATTCGCCGCATTAGATACCGATGCTGATGGATTAGTTTCAGGCCCTGAAGTGAGAGATGTTCTCATGCAGTCCGGTTTGCCTCAAGATATTTTGGCTCATATATGGGAGCTGGTGGATATACAGAACACAGGTTTGCTAAACAGGTAAATGCTTTTCACTCCTAATAACATTTCTAAATTGTCACTGATATTATTTTGTCGGAACGTGGTTAACATCATGTCCAGATTTACAAAGATGACCATTCGTTTTTTCATTTATGATAACTTCTTTGTACAACAGATTTTCACGTTGCTATTGGAGTTCGATATAATGCTGCATTTCACTTGAATCCGTTGATTAGTTTCTATTGGTATACTAAGCTTGATATATTATGGGCGGTGTTTGAGGTATGAACGTGATATGTGCTAACCCCGCGAATCGACTTCTTCAGCGAGAAGGCAAGAGTAAGAGAGAAATCCTATTAGGCTACCAAATACTTGTCCCTATATTCATGTATCTTACGCCTAAGACAATTAATCTACTTATTCACCAATGGTGTGCATTCATCCTGTTGGACATTTCTGATGGTCATCAAACGACTCTCATTAGACCACTTCTGTAACTATGATAGTGCGTGTATATTATATCGTTGTTTATTTGTATCATCTTAATTGTAGTTTCTTATGTATAATGATGATGTTTTTATTATCTTAATAAGGTCTAAGACTCATGGTTATAAATAGTGAGCACTGTTGCACCACTGATCATCAATTCTGAGTCATTTTATCCATTTCGTTTTAAAGCAAAATTAAAGAATTTTATTTGTATTTAAAGTGAACAGTTTACAGTGGCCATGCACTTAGCAACAGAACAATTATCTGCTGGTTTATCTAATCGTACACTTCCTAACGTACTTCCTGCTGCTTTACTTCCGCCAAGTTTGCGCCCAATCCCTCCAGATCCATCGATTTTTGAAGAATCGAACAAATTGATTATAGAAATAGAAGCATTAAATCGGTATGCCATTATTATTGCATTCACTCCTTGTAGCATAGATTCTTTTGTGTTGGACAATCATTTTGTATTTTCTTATTATCCGGGTATCTCTTTCTCGATCTTCATAATTTGTGTCGCTCATCAAACTGAGTACATTAATTGGAATTTATGTTGTAGGTTTTAATGAACATTTATAATAAATCAGTAATTATCTGTATGAACTATGGATTATTTATTTTTATCTAGATTATAGGAATTCTTTTTTCAGTTGAAGTAAAATTCATTTATTTCAACAAACTTTGTGTATAATCAAATAGATGGTGCTAACATTTCTTTTTCCACGGACTATTATAATAAACTATCAATGAAAGTTTATTGACAGAGGTCAGGGAAATGACTTACGTAAATTAGTGTGTATAAAATGCTTGAAAATAGGGTAAGTATTTAATGAGACGAAAAATAACCGGCAAATAAGAAAGGAGCATCTTTAGTCCTAGTTCAAATGATGTATAGATTGCTTGATGAGTTTCGACGAAAAGTAATGGAAATTCAAATTTACTGAAATAGAAATAAAGACAAAATAACCAGTAAGTGAATTATTTTCTGGTGATATATGACCTTTAGAAAGCCTAACGTCAGTCACATACTCGAAAACTATGCATTTACTTTGAAAAATTTAACCCATTTCAAAAAATTTTCCATTATCTATGAATTAGTTACTGTTCCTATCATCATGATTTACTGTTAGTTTCGTTGAAATTAAGTTTCGTTACATGGCGTATAATTTGAAGATTGGATTATTAGAGTGTATGGAGGTATGCTACTTTTCCGACCGCTGGTATACTTGAATAAGCTAATGAATTTTATGGTAAGGATTATAACATTATATCCTATCAAAACAATAATACACTGGTAGGTATATTTATAAATTCGATTTTTCCAAGCTGAAGTTATGTGAATAAAGTATACATATCAGCAAAGTATATATGTAACAATTATTTAAATACCAATTTCTTGGGTTATAGAACTCATAACCTGAGGCTATAATAATGATTTATATTAACGCAGTTAATTCGAACTTCAGATGACTTCTTTCTTTTAAGAACTTAATTGACCGCTATTTTATAATCGAAGCTCATCATTTAACGGTTTTTTAGTGGAATTCATTTTAGTTATATCACATTAAAAAGATTTATTGAGTACTGAATAATCATATTATTATCTTAAAGAGCAATAGACTGATATTTAAAAAATCATATCTTAAAGAATATTGAGATATATATTTACTTATGTCTGAGGTTTGCGTGTACAAAACAATGTTGTTTATACATGTTTATATTGTAGTTAATAAATAAACACTCTGTTGACGTATTATTTTCACTTTTTGAATAAAACTTTTTAGTGAAAAATCTGCTGTAGAATCTGATTATGTTTCTATGGCCACAGATTCCCAGCGTCGAGCTTCTGAAGCCACTTCGAAACAGCGTACAATCGATACCCTTAATCATACCATTCGTAATTTAGCTAATCAGCGTTTAGAAGCTGAACGCCGACTAACTGATTATAGTCGTGAAAAGGATACATTAGAAAGTGTACTTAATGACATCAAAAGTCATGTAGCGAATGAACGTCGAAAAGTTGAAGAAATGCGTATTAAAATTAACTGTCAACAAGCCTCAACGAAAGTATGTTCTTTGATATGTGTTGTTTGAAAACATTTTATTCTGTTATGTCATTCTTTAATTTTGTCAATTATTTTTACAACCTTTAGACCGGTTTATAAATTTTGACAAATATCCTTACTGTACCAGTATTTCATTGAATAGCTCGTACTCTTCTACCGTACTGTTGTGTTCTCTCCTATGGCGCTAGCACTAAATTCAGTAACTTCCTTACTATATTCTAAAAAATCACTAGACTGCTCTAATTATCAAGCGCTAAGTAAATGACTCGGATACTTGTTTCGAATTGAACAGAGTACATATAAATGAGTGATTTATACTATATGATAAATAATATTGCCATGTTCTTCTTCCGTGATTAATCAATTTGTTTGTTAAATTTTATTCTATACTATTGAACCAATGAACCTTAACAATAAGATTTTAAGATAGCATTGCTCAAACCAAAAAATTTTACTTTTTGTCAACCGACATACGTTATTTTAATGCGGAGATTATAATTCAGTATCTGCAACAATGTTGATTGTTTTAAAAAGCCATCATCTTATTGTAAGCAAGTGATGACACTAAACGGATGTTAAGAGGTGTGTAACTGATTCTTAATTTGATCTTATCCGTTCTTGCAACGGTAATCAATCAAAACAGGTTCGTTATTTAGTCGTGTGATGCTAAGGCGCTGACTCAAGATTACCCCTTTAGCGAGTCAGTTAGCTCTTACAGATATGACTACAGTACAATGATTTCATTACTCAATTCGTTCATTCTCTGAAGCGATAATCAATTTACTAATATCCATAGGAGATACTAGAAGAATTTCAAATCAAAATGAAACGTTTATGCGAATACAGAAAACTGTGAGGAAGGAAATTACTTGAAATTAGTGGGTGTCTTTTATGTGACTATTTGATTATCCTGTCACGGATAATCATGGATAGTTTATCGAGAAGCTCATATGTGACTGAGGAGATCAAGTTGTTGCCCACCGATGATATTTCATCAATGCTCTATGTGTAGATATCAACAAAAACTGCGGAGACGTTTCAAGATTTAGTCGTGTCGATAAGATCCCACTTCATAAATCCAATGTCTCAAAATGGCAAAATGTATTGAGTTCTGTTATCCATCACGTACGAACACATATCGTCGAAATTCGGCATTACGAACATAGTGTTCTCACCGGTTTCTCCAAAGATTGTTGTGGTCGAAAGCGTCTTCATACTTAAAAAATTTTGTGTCATTATAAATTTATTCAGTATTCGTTTCAATCACCGTTTATAATTTTAGGGTCACAAAGAAGAAATAGCTCGTTTGCGAAATAAGTTAAATGAATTAATACGAGAAGAAGCTATGTTACAAGATAAAATTATTGAAGATCAACGTCGTTTAGAACAAATTGATAAGGAAAACAATTTAGCGCAGTCTCGTATAGATCAAGTAAGTCACAATGTTACGTGTAACGTATTACATTTCAATTATTATTATGAAAAAAATATGTGTATAGTACACTGTATTGGGTTGACAGATATTAGTTTTATACAGCTATGATATAAGCTGACCATCTTTTTTCTCCTGTCAACCCAGTCTCAATATTGATAATTTGTACTTAGCGTAGAACTTAGTGGTTTATTGTATGTTGAACCTGTCCGAGCTACAGAAGCTGGAATCTAAATATGATTAAACCTGTTAAACACAAACTACAAGGCTTCGTGACTACCAACGTGATGATACCACTGGATGTGAGTTTTACCTGAAATTTGTTAATGAGTATACTTGCTCGATTTTATTTTCTAGCTTTAATTGTCTTATTATTAATGGTAATTGTCTTGTTTTCCAATTCTTAGGCTTTCAATAAACTTGGAACATTGGAATCTACTCGTAGTCACCTGCTAGAAGTGCTTGAACAATATAATGGTCTGTTAAACGGTGATGAAAATATCAAAGAACCTGACGAAGCAAGAGTTAAATCGTTGGTTAGTTGACTAATCTGTTAACAATTTCGATCGCGTTTCGGTTTCGTTTAATAAGCTCAAAATTCTATTATAAATCAACATTCTACTCTTTTAATCAAAGTTCCCCTAAATGAACGGTTATTCATCTATGCTCAGTGCTCACATCATGTTAACCTCTCTGTTCACAATCAACTTGCATTTTTTCATTGAAATGATGACCGCCATTAAAAACCTGGATACAGTGGGCGGCGGTTTTGTCCTACTGTGGGACTCATCACAATCGGTCATTCAGTACCTCCGCAAACGTTAATCAAACGCTCACCTCTAGACCACTGAGTTGGCATCCCATAGTGCTAATGTCTAACTTCAATCAATCTACGATATTGCGCTACCTCATCTGTTGTCATCGTTGGATGACTGCCTCACACGCAACACAGTTGATCTCCACTAGTCACGACTTTTCACTAGAACTCAGAGAGTTCTGTCACTAAACCAGTCATCATTGAACGCATGATAATTGTCATAATAGGATTGTGGAGATTGTTGGGTTTCATCCAGTACTTCTAGGTTTCTATTAGTGGTCTGACATTGATAAATTCATGATTTCAATGAGACTGATGTACGTACGTACGTACGTACGAAGTTCTACCTTGCTATTGATTGATTGATGCGACTCACAAATCTCTATAACTATGTTCCTTGTGCTTATTCTAACTTACTGTCAATAATATTGTGAATGTTACGCTAATTAAGACTGACTGACTATTTATAAGTAAATTATATTTGCGATTTTTTTAGCTTTCTGATGAAAGTGCAAGAGATAATTTGAGAAGTTTCCATACAGATCTTGGAGGTATAAATTGGTCAAGTCGTAATAATAACGATCCTTCTTTTATTACTGATATGCAATCTTTCTCAGTATTTGATACATCACGAAGCCAAACTGGAGCTCACTCTGTACCACTCCCATTAATGTCAATGGATTCTTTATCAGGTGGTGATTTCAAGACAAATGAAAGAGGCCATTTAAATTCTTCACTTGGATTTCCATTTCCTTACGACCCTTTTGATAGCAGTGATCCTTTCAAATCTAAAACCAATGAGTTCCATAAAAGTAAGTTGTGTATAGTGATTGGCCATCAAGAAGTAACTGATGAATTGTTTTTATGATCCATGAAATTCCAGGTACAGATGTCAGGTCGGGTTCTAGTTGAGTGTAAATAGTTAATGAATTGAGCATACTGTGGATAGTTTGTTAGAAGCATATTTCGAGTTAGATTTTTATTTCAGTTCCCGTCATAAGTTCATACGTTTAATTATACGCAGTCCCTACTTATTTAACTGTACCGTTTTAAACATAACACTGAAAAAGTATATATACGTATATAAAACATCCATACATCTGTACTACTTCTATATGCATGTTTGTGAATATTATCTGTGAAAGTCAGATCGAACATGGTTTATTTGATAATTTTTTGTGTCTAACCGATTAAGCCACATAGAAAATCCAATGTCAACAAACTATAATTTATGTTAATTTATCAATATTTTACAGTTATCTCTTATTCACAAAATTATTACAATACATGATTTACTCGTTAAATATATGGGTGTGTGCTTGTATGTACGTGTCCATTTATGCATGCTAATTTCATACTTGTATTGATTATAATCTTTGTAAAACATCCTGAGAATTTACTTGTTTCTTTGAAAAATTAGTTGATTCAATAAGTTATTTCGTTATGATGTTTGAATCACTGCACTAGTATTTAAGACGATCGACTTCTAACCTCTTTCAGTTGCAGATTCTAGGACCGCTCAAAACTGGCAAGCATTAGTGGGTCTTACATCTAATATATCTCAATGCCAAGTGTACACAAATCTATAGCTGATAATTACTGTTACTTTTTTTTTTATCATAGTGCAATATTCATATTCGTTATGAATTTTAAAATACTTTGATATCAATATTCCATTACTGTTCCATTGCTCAGCAGTATTAGACTATCACAATCACGCTTTGATTCACTTCCATTGGATCTAGTTGCAAACTCAGTCAAATAGAAGACCAACGTCTGTCGGATGTGATCTACTCATCGACCAATAATTTGTATGTAGATAATAAAAACTATCGTTATCCAAATGTATAACATCTGATCACAAGTTCGTTAGGGTTGATTCTATAATAGCTTTGAGAGCTTGCTTGCTACAGAGATCTAGAAGTTCAAATGCAAAATCTATTCAAATTATTTATTAACAGTGATTTCAGTTCTGGACTGAAAAATTCGTTCATTAAACTATACTTTGCTTCCCACAACAAAAATAGTCGTCTTGAAGAAAGCTGGCCTTTAAAATACCATACTTCACTTTACCCCGTAAATTTCTATTTCCAGCGGTAAAGCCTTAGAAGTACAGAACTAATCCATCTGAAACTACTCAACCGCCCTCTTATCTGTAATATCACTCGAGATTCCAGGCAAATGTCATAAGATGTTAATAATAACTGGCTTAATTTAATATCTATCTGCTTCAACATTTATTTCAAATACCGTTTATCCTCACAAAACAAAATGTTGACCACTTGCAGAAACATTCTAATATTTTTATTCTTTTATAAAATCAATACAACTGATGATGCTCTTCCAAAAGCAAAAGAAAGCATTCTTATTATCAATAGACGACTCATTACATAAAACAAATGATCAAAATCTTTTTTTTTCTTTAAGTCACAAATTTTCCACATTATCTTAATCATAAACAATTTAATGTCGAGTTCAAAGAAGTAAAAATTGGTTACAATTGAAAATTTAACTTTTTATTGAGTGTATTATTATTTTGAAATTATCTAGTGTTTTGTTTTCTAGTCTACAACATTATAAGCATTTATGTAAATATTCCTATAGTGTACACAGTTTTTCATTTTTCACCTTATTTCATCTATATTCTATCCGGTAATAGAATCTGTTGAAGATCCATTCGCTTTGTCAATTACGAATGATCCATTCAAGGATTCTGATCCATTCGGTACAGATCCTTTTGGCTTACCTTATTTGGTAAGTGAAAATTTCTCCAAAGACACAACAATTGTTGTTTTTTTTTTCTCTGCTTAAAATTTCCTAGTAGTAAGAATATTTTTAATCATTTTAACATTGTTAATTCTCGTGTTAAACATGCTAACTTAAGATTTTTGATTGAGTGTTTGAATTTAATTATACCTATTTCGGAAGTTTTAAATTTTATTTTTCTGTAAAATGTAATTTAACATGTTTTACTTGTAAATCAGTCAGTTACATCCGTAGAATTTCCTACTTACGTACATCAGTTCAAGCAGCCATACACACTACATTAGCACACACTGATCGAATTGTCAATTCAAATCCTATAATAGTAAATGTAGTAGAAGTATTAGCAGTAATGGAAAAGATTAGTGTTTGAAGCGTACTTTTAAAATTTCTTTTATTACTACAGGTATACTGATTGCAGCATAACCAACATATTTCTTCGTGCTTTTCAGTATTGGAAAAAAAATTTATCACTTGTTTCACATTATGTTCAACTGATCAGCAGTTTACACGATATTTTGTCGCATTGAATTATTTTAGATTAGTTGACAGGCGCTAAAGATACAGACTTTTTGTTTATGGCCGCTTTTCATTATCGATACTAGTAACTACAAACAATATCAGTGAATTTCTTTCTGAATAAGAAAGTTGTATAGTACTTACGAATACACTTATACACTAAACAGTCATTAAAAATGAACACAATTTGTAATAGTTTTTGGATTATCCCATTATTTAGGTATTTTTGACAAGATTTTAATCATTCTAAGTTGATATATGTGTATCCTCTATGGATCGCCTCTACACAACCATAATATCACAAGTTTTTATAGGATAAATAGGATAATGTTGGCAGTGAAGACGATAATGGTCGTTTCGTCTTATTCGGAACTTGCCAGCTAGATTTCCCTAGACCTCAGAACCTAGTACCTTCAAGTTCAAACACCCAACACATTTTCCATTTACTTACTGAGTTAATGCTTGGAAATTATTTACCTGTAACCACGTTCTGACTTGAATCTGCAGGTGCAATAGCATGATTGTCGGAGCTCATTGATATCGAAATGTTTGTTTCACATAAGTTATTAGGTTTTAAATCGACATTAAACCCATAACAATCAGTAACATTATGTTTAAAATCATCAATATTATTTCACAAAAGGTTCGGGAAATGAAAGAGAAAAGATATTAAGAATTTATTTCTAGTGTGCGTGAGTCGGTGTTTAGTGTTTTTCCACAATAACCACCAACAGACGTGATGTGAGTCCGCGTTTGTCAGCAATCACCTACCATCCATTAAATAGATAAGAACATTGCTTACTTAGAAGATTAGCCCAAGAGAGCCCTGCGTCACATATTAATTACATCTTACGGAATCAGACGCTAGTCATACGAAATCTGTTGTCTTTAAGATCAACAGAGGTCGAATGATTTCAAACTCCGCGTCATTAAGCTTGCGCATTTATGACTTCTTAGTGTACATCAGGGAATTAAGTTCATGATTGTGATATAAACATTACCACGAATAACAGTTCATTTACTTTTAATAAATTTACATTGGGTGAACGCCAGACATTAAATATTTATTTCAGCTCTTCATAAAAATATAGAAGTACATGACCCACTTACATTCCTTTTCAAATAAGTTGTGATCTGTGGGCTTTTTATCAACCATTTATCCACCATATAAGGTTTATAAACGGCTGCTGATTTTTATGGAAATGTGAATTATGGACCACGAAATGATATATATAATTTCTAATAGCGATCTTTGACGTTTCTAGCAATTGGAACGCTGCCAAATACAACTTATTTAAGAACATGTTATCGGTAACCGTGACAACGTTCGAAACGATAGAGCTAGTATTTTGTCATTTATTAGCGTTAATGTTTTAGCAAAAAGGTGAATATTGATAGAATCTATATTTTTTATGATATGCAAAAAATAATAACAAATAGCTACAATCGTAAAACTATTTATTTTCATTGAGCTAAACGGGACAGAAAACTTTTCAAGATAAGATTAAAACGATTTTTGTACGAAAACTGTGATAATTACCGGACTGCTAATGTTCATCTATGATACTGAAATATCGTACATCTTTCAAGGAAAAGCGAACAGTACATACGGACTGTGTACAGAAATAACTAATAAGAATTTTATATTATGAGATATTTAATATCTTTTTAAAAATTTATCATGCATATTTACTAATGTATGCGCAGAAATGTAACACGTTAGTATGAGTAATTTGTAATAGTGTGTAAACCCTACCTAGTAAATCGTCTGTAGTTTATCGATTATTACAGCTCGATTAATCGCAAAGGGTAAATAAATCAGGATTTTTACATGACGAAAAATTGTTTTTTCATACTTACAGAATAAAGGGGAAAGGTAATTCACTGGGTAAATCAGAAATCTGCTCGTGACTAACCATGAAATGAGTCGCAGTTCCTGCGAATCAGGCAAACAGCATTTGTGGCTTAATTTTTAAGACATATCTGTATGTTTCTTTAGCCTATATAAAATTCTTTCTCACTTGTACAGATAATTCAGTAATTATATGAGGGTCTTATATTTTAGCATTGGTATCGAACATCACACCTCACAACAGAGGAAGTGAATAAATTGTGTTAAATAATTTACTTCATCCCCCGACTTTTTTTCTGTTTAGATGACTAAAGATAGAAAATCTTCGAATGCTATTGGTAAGTCAATATTTGCCATTACTATTATTATTATTATTATTGTTTTATTTCGTTAACCAAATAGTATAGAAGTGTTGAGCACATCTTTTTGGCTTTAATTGCTATGTTTACACTTCTCCTTGCTATTCGATCTGCTCTCTTTCATATACTTCTCTGTTATTGATTTCTCGCTGTATTTTTGTGAGATATGACAATCTGAACTGATGATATACATTTCTACCAGATTTCTATGCTGTATATAATTTATTACTGTCTAACTATACTGGCGATGGGACCTGAAGTTCCTGTGTTCAGTCCCTGAAAGACTCGTGGGTATACGCTGTTTTATCGTCTCAAATCGGTGTCACGTGTATTTCTAGGACTAAGTGGTTTTCGCTTTTTAAAAGTATTTTCAAATTAATCTATCTTATTTCATCAGTGTTTTCAACTTGACATATTATAAGTATACAACATTAGGAAATTACTCTTTTTTTGATGAATCATTTACATGTTATTCCAATTTTTCAAAATATAAACAGTCTTATCGGCATTCGAAGTTGCATTTCATGTGAGATTCCATTCTCCATTCCATTTCTCCAATGGTTTTGATAGAATTCTTGCTTTGTATTGTTTGTTGCATCCGATTGCTTTTTCATAAGTTTCATCATCTTGCAAACTCTGTATTATTGTTTTCCATTTTATTTAGTTATTGTACCAGTAGCATTTCACAAAAAAAAAAACATCCTTATCACTACTAACAATAATGCACGATAATTGCCTGTGTAGGTTGGAAAAAAGCTAGAGTCAGCCAATTAATGCAGTATCAGTCAGTCTATGAAGTTATTAAGTGTTCAACTGAATCATATAGGTACTATATTACTTAATTTAAGCCTGTATGCTTTTCATAACCAACTATTAGGTAATTTACGTTATCCATTCCCTTTCACCTTTAAATCATAAGTTTCTTAGTGATTTAGAAAGAGTTTTTTCTAGTTGCTGCAATGGATTTCTTCTATCTTCTTTAGTCATAGCCAATATTTACCCAAATTTATTCTTCCATCATTAATACTGTAACCAATCATCATACTAGCTATGCCTAATGCGGTGTAGCAGCTTAAACCAATGAGCATATATGCTAGCTCTTACATTGCTTATAATTATCTGACTCATTATATCTAGTTCGTTATATTCATGGAATCTAATGTTAGGGTAAGATATGTTTGGTTTTTCTTTTAAGAAAATGTTTTCGTTTTCATAGTGTGCACTTTGTAAATTAATTTTCGAATAGTTCCCTATTAAATGTAAGTAATTGTGTTGACTTGCAGTGCACCCATAGAATAAAATCAAATTCTATTCTCTGGAATTATTTCAAAAATTTATCTCACTGATTCTTTCTTAGTTAAGTGTAGCTATCTAGTTCTTGCAATATTGTTACCTCTCAATATGAATCCGACCATATTCAAATTGTTTAGGATTTATTTGTGTTACACTATTCAGTCGATCGATAGATATTGAATTAGTTGCATCTCATCTTATGAAATCTCTAAGCTATGCATGTTTTCTAAAAACCTACTATCGTTATTCAGTTGTTGAGTAATTTTTTACGGACTGGTTCAGTTTGATGAAGCTGGTTTTTAATTATTTTATTTTCGGCAACGTCTAAAGATAAAGTGCTTTCCTAGAGATCTGAAACTCTTGAAGTCAACTGTTGAGTGTGTCATCGTGCATGTGTGCATCACTGGTAAGTCCTAGACTAAAATGAAACCATACTGTTCAGTGCCCCATAGTTTTCTAGATGATGCCAAAATTATTATTATTGCCATTAATGTTATTACTATCCTTCCCTAAATATACACACATTCAAGGTTTCTTTTCTAAAAAATAATTGCAATTTTCAAATAGGTGATAACTCTTTTCTCGTGTTTCTCTTTTCAGCCTCAGCGTTTGATCCTTTTAGAACGGATGGAGTGTGTTCTACTGTTCTTCCAGAAAATTCATTTGTTGGGGCCGATTTTGATTCAGTACGTCAAATACTAAGCAACGCGTTGTAAATAGTATTTCACTGCTACTCATCAGTATTTTTTTCATTTTCCACCAGGTATTTTAATAGTTTCTTAAAAATATAATTATCATAGTTTTCCAGGCATTTTATTGATCAAAACTTCATCCATCTGCACAAATTATAATGATAATGATAACCTAAACACCTACTTACCCTGATTATCAAGACATTGTTACTACATTATTTGTTATCCTGCAGATTAATTGGGTTAATGCATATCAATTAGGCATTATGTATATTTATCCGCTTTCTGTTACAATCATTATTAAGCAGTCCTTTCGTTGGAGCCTATGTATTAACATAGACTGATCAAAATCACTAATGAATATCGACAATGGAAAAAGACAAATCATTTCACGAATAAAAATTGTTTGCATGAACATTGTTGATAATATGAGATTGATATATTTCAAATGCTTTATTTGAAGAAATATTGCATGCGATATGAATAGACTACCATATATATAAAATTGACCATTACATGCATGTACAAAGTTATATTTGTATGAAATTTATCAGTTAAGTTTTTAATTGTGTTAATTTTTTTTAATTAACAAATAACAATTAGGTTTTTGGACCTTCCAATGGTGAGCTATCGAATATAACTGATCCATTTGGTAGTGATCCATTTACACCTTCAAGTAATGCATTCATGATAAATACAAGTATGACTAATAATCGAGAGACAAAGAATCAAATGAATTCAGTAAGAAAGTCTCCACCGCCTCGACCTAAAACGCAACCAACTCCCGGTAAATCCATTCGAGCTTTCAAGGTAGGTTTTGTTTTCCTCTTACTGAAATCATTATGTCAATCTTTTATGATCTTTATTATTGCCTAGTATTCTTCGAACGTCTTAATTCGCCTTCTAGTGCTCAAAATCAGAACACGGTTGAAAAAAGTATATGGTTAAATTTCCACAAAACCATGTCGGAACGAGACATTTCTCACAAAAATGTTCTAGAGTCTTCTTCAAGTATTTACTAAAAATTTCAGAAGCGTTCTTAATGCTAAATGGAAGACGGGTATATTGAATTAATGCTCGATAAGTGTTGATAATTAGAAGCTCATCGTCTATTTCCATTTCGAGAGATACATCAGAATAGTCTATTTCCGCGAAAATATCTCACCATTTGCATTAAGAAACAGATCCTCAGGAACTGGTAATGGATTCTAATATACATCTAGTGCATGGTTTAAAGCGGTTGAGAGTCGGCTTATATGCATAGTTTCTTCGGCCTTCGTAATCACTACGATCGGTGCGGCACATGCTGAATAGGTGACTGTTGGATTACATCAGCTTGTTGCATCAGTTAACTTCCTGATCTATCAGTTCTAGAGCAGCATACAGTACTAGACTTTTCAGACGCAAAACAGGTTTAGCATTTGGTCTTACTAGTAAATAAGCTTTCATCTTAGTGCACTGTCCAAGGCCGCCCTGAAAAACAGGAGCGAATTCGTGATAGAGTTTCGTCCTCTGAGTTGCATGTTTTGGTTGTGGAGCTTTACTTGTTTTTCTGAACAGCAGCACAAACCTCAGGTAGAAGAGAAGTATTTGTATTTCTCCATGTATGACTCTTAGCGGTAATGAAGAAGATTAGGGTTCGAAGATATTATTCAAGAAGATCTCTAACCATCGCCTCACGGACCCCAAACAGGTAGTCTACTCATACCGTCACGGCTCAATCCACTCTTCATTGGCTTTCTGCCATGTTTTAATCTGGCCTCCTCTAGCTTCTTCCAACCTACTTCTATACCACAAAACAACGCTCATCGAAGCTGTAGGTGGTCAGGCATACGCAACACATGTCTCAACCATCTCAACTGATGAAGTTTCAATACTTCATCTGTTAATTTGCCATCCTTACCTAGTACTCGTTTCCTAATGGCAGTATTGCAATTTTATTGCGTATCATTGTTTTTTTTCATGTATGGAATATGGTCATTTATAATCGAGGATATTTCTTGGTTACTAATAATATTCAATCAGAGGTGTCTCCGAACGACTACTCTCGTATTTTTGAACAACCGAGTAAGTAATAGTGAGGATAGGCATTGAGTACTGGACGAAACGGTCGTGCAGTCTTTTCGAGCTTTCAATGGTTGCTTTACTCAGATCGGTTTGTGATATCATTAAAATTCCACTATATCTTCAAACTGATATTTGATAGTGTTGTTACTTTCATTCTTATCTCTCTGATTTTTTGCAGTCACTGTGTGATGATTCTAATTTTCCTGCCAGTATGCATTCTACTAATTCTGATGGAGATTTTGCAAACTTTACTAACTCTTCATCTTCTATGCTGGCTAATGTTTCATCAGAGCACCGTAAACATTCAATTGGCGGCGTTATTGATCATTCAATTAATCAAAAATCAACATTCACTTTAAAATCAAAAAGTTCTGGTAAAAACATAAAAAAAGATGCACAAAATTTCCCATCATCATCACCATCATTAATTAGTAAAATGAAAACAATTACAAAATCTACAGGTAGTGGTAATGACATCCCACTATCTGATGAAGCAAGACTTTCTTGGGCTATCATTGAAAGTCAACGTCTTGCACAAATCGAGGAGGAAGCTCGTAGACAAGAAGAAGCTGATCTTGAGCTGGCACTTCGTTTAAGTAAACTTGATTCATCGAATCAACATTGAGTAGGAGAGATTGAGAGATATATTGTTACTTCCATTGTCATCTATGAATTTTTAGAACAGAAGCTATTTTCGAAGTTTCGTTTTCTTTTCATTCATTAGTTCAACTATACTATATTCTTTTTCTAAGTTAGTCTGAGCTAACTGTTCAACTCCTTTTTTTACGCATATAAATATATGATCATCTCGTATGTATGAAGTTCAATCTCTTTTCTTTTGTTAATGCAAAGAGTGGACAATTGGAATTGAAAAAGTGAAAAAAAATGGTTACTTCAATGAGTTTAAATTCTGTGATGTATTGAAATAGTATTGTAGTACTGTACGTCAATTAATGTTAGTTAATATGCTTTCATGAATGATGGGCTTTTGTGTTGAAGAACGAAGTGTATGTTTATATTTTCCGTCACCTAATATAATTGAGAAAAACATGTTATACACAATGAACTATATTTTTACACTTAAACAATGTTTAGTTATCATAATAATAACAATAATAATAGTAATAATAATCCATAGATCCTTAAGTTATTTTAGATTCTTATTGTTAGTCATTGAATTGAGGATCCATAAAGCGTAGTTTGCTAGGTATTTTGTTTCATGAATACTCGTATACACTTGGCATAACAGTTACATAGTTTACCGATTGATTGAAAACCGAATTGCATTGAATAATGTGGTGATGTTGATTTTTAGGATAGAGTGGACTGTTTTTTTTTCGGACTTATTGTTGGTTGTACTTTCTTTTTTTACACATTTGAAATCATCAATCCATCATTGTTAGACCCCCATTAGAAACCTGGAAGCACTGGACGGCCGTTTCGTCCTGGTATGGGACTCATCAGTAGTGCGCATCCACGACTCCTGATCCTCGCAGGATTCGAACCCGGGACCTTAGGCATTGTAGGCGAACGCCTTACCATCGGATCACTGGGCCGGCATCCAACGGTGTTATTGTCTAACTCTGATTGATCTAGGGATTTTGCGCGACCTTACCCATTTGTCTTTGGTAGTTACTGCCTACACCCGACAGGGTTGTACTTTCGTTAATAACTTCTTAAATCCATATTATCATTCTTAGAGTAACTTGACTGACTGACGACTGAATTAGAGTGAATTAGGCTGATTGTGCTCATGCAACTACACGTAGTTGTAGGCTGCAATACTATGTACCTACTCTTGTCAATAAATTCTAGTTTTTATTGTGACTCTTAAATTGTTAACAGTATGTTATTAAGTCAGATACTGCAGTTCATTGTGACTTAGTTCAAAAAATATATACACAGCATTAAAAGCGTCACTATCCAATTTGCCAGTTGTTTTTTCTGGTTAATTTAAGAATTATAAACAAATTTCTCACTCTTGTTCAATTCAATAGTTAGAACCATCGCATCAGTAGCGTTGATAATATCAATATGATTATTTTAAAAGTTTTATGTCCCAATACTGCAATATCGCTGGCTATAGGATTTTATAACAGTCACTGACAATAAAACCATTGTTGATTTGCTATGCTGTGATGGTCATGCGGCCTTTATAGCTTTTATAACTCTGTATGGATTTTTGCGACACCTGTACAGATAGTTTTTAGCAACTGAACACAAGGCTTCCTGCAGGTATAATAGAGTTTTGTCTCTGATGGAGTTCTGTTCTGAACCCAGTGCTCCATAGATTGCATAACTTTCATATTCTTCCGGTAATTTAGGGTGATCACTTCTGAATTGTTTGAATAATCATGCGTAACAAATTTATTTGTCTTTTTTATCTGGCTCGTGGAATATATAAAAATTTCCCCGGATATCTCAGTGATTTTAGTAACTATATCAAAACCACCCAACTTATTGTGTGGCGAGGAGTAATGACTCAAATTACAATATTTGGACTGAATGAGACACATTTGGATTTATTTAGTCAGATCGAACTACGTTCTCTCTAACTCATGAAGCATTTGTAGTTCGTTCGTATTAAAGTATGTCAAAACTCAAACTTTGTGCTGCCATGTATGTATGGGTTAAAAATACCGTTGTGTTATCTAGGTTTTGTTAATCACTCTGAGGAAGTTGCTTGAACCACTGCAGATAGTGGGTAGCTTGTAGTACACAATGCTCACAACCATCATAACTCATAAACCGACCATTGTGTACTTTGCTTTGATTTGTTAAGTATTAAATTGTTTACCTGAAATTTTTGGTGAATGCACGGAATAATTAAATTTTTGTCAGCTACTTATGATTCTCAATCGATGTGAGTCAGTTGATTAAGGAAGACAAGTTAGTAAAAATTTCTGTTACTTTTCGTACATGTCAAAGAGAAATCATTGAGCTCTTTTGGCAAGATAACGTCTGGATGCTTCCTATACTTAGCTGCTCCGAGTTGTCGAAGAAGAATTCTTACTTTTGAAGTATCATGATAACGGAAAAAATCAACGTTTTCAAATATCTCTCTTGCATCAGGGTTGCATTAAGACTCACTCATTGAATTGGTTAGGTATTGGAACCGAAGTTACTTGAAATGGAAACTTGCGCATCATCGCTATGATCATTTCGGACTATGTTGGTTGGAATTCCTTTGCAACTACTGGGAAATTTACTTAAGCTTATCAGCTGAGATGAACATTCTAAAGTATTATTTGTTTCTACGTGAGACTTACAATCCGTCGCCTCAGTATGTTATGGAGCGCGGTTCTAAATGCCCTACGTTCTATACCCCACAAACTGGCTGCCTGGGCGAGAGGACAGGTTGCAGAATGGATCTGATTGAATACCGAATAATTTCAACAAATAATCTTGTTTATATGTGTATTTATCTCATTGGAAAATAAAGCCATCTAAGCAGTGGTATGAATTCGTCTTTTAGAACATTCCTGATGAATGCCTCCTAATGATCTCATCGTTAGATCACTTCTGATTGTCCTTTAGGTTCCATATTTTGTTAGAACAGGTTGAGGTCGAGTACACATACTTTCTGATTAGTGGTTGATTATACAGTGATGATATACTGAGCCAAAGTTAAGTGACAGCTTGTACCAATAGACCAGTTTAACTAGTGGAATTTCAGAAAGGTTAACATAAAACGCTCTTTACAGTTCGGACAAAGTGTAGCCACAACTTACTATGTTAGTCAGTTCAAGTCCTACTGTCAAGATATTCTAACTTTGGTCTTATGATTATCCACCAATACTTCTACCATTCACAAAATCGGCACTTCCGGATTAGATTTCATCTTGACATAAAAGACAACTTCCCCTAACAGAATTTGCTTTCAGCCGATAATGAGAACTTTCCTTGTCAACTGCTGGTTATCTTTCGAAATTCTGACAAACGGGTTGGGATTTTATATTTCTTTTCTTCCTCTCATACTCATTCATCAAATTTAATTAATTTTTTGTCATGTGACTGACAGAAATATATCTCCGTTTAAGTATTGATAATGTTGTGACCTTATCCCATAGAAAACAACATTGCTTAAATAATGTTACCCATAAAAACTACTTCGAATCTGCCTTGGAAGTTAATTGATCATGATGCCTCATGGTGAAGTCTTCAATTTTTAAGTAATGGCAGCGTACGAATCAACGTAGTTCACTTGCTTTAGCTGATTGTCATTCATTAACACATTGGTTGTAAGAATCTTACCACTAACGAATACCAAAGAAAATATACATAATTACCAGTTCTCATCTAGCAGTCAGCTAAAGTACCAGACGGAGAAAGGATTTGTCAGGGGACCATATTGAAAACCAAACTAATATTATTACAACTAATGGAAACGTGGATTACTCATTAAACAAAATGACCATCTCTGAGTCAGGAATACAATTAGCAGATTTATTTCAAATCTGTGTGTTTTGAAATCGACTTTCCACCATTAACAGAAAACAATCCAGTTTTCGACACCAGATTAACAATTCGATCATTCCCGAAGATATAAACTTAGTCTCCATTCATTAGTCTGAGTAACAGTTCGTAAAAATGAAATCATTCCAAGTTAGGAGCATAGGTCTAGATATCTCGCCGAATAAATGCACTATACAATCAATACACGTATCACAGAAATGGACAACTGAGTTTGGTAAACTCGTTTCCAAATCCGACAATTGCTGTTGCTGCAGAATTGGACCAGGTGGTGAGACAAACCTCTTAATGCCTCTATTGCAACGTAGGAGGAATAAGGTGTAAGCTGTTAGAAATCAGGAATATTTGTTCTCAGATGGATCTCGAGACTATAAATCAAACTTAAACATGGCTATCCCCTGATATTGCAAACGATGAAGTGAGCTTGTAAGGCATGATACCCTTCCGACGCAATAGGGTACGCGAGACAGGAGGTGGGGCGGTTATATATATTAGCAGCCACGCCATAGCCCAAAGACTACGCGGCACTCAACAAACTAAGAATGCTGACATAAACAATTTAATCACACACTGGGAGACTCTTCCAGACGAAGCAAGTAGTCTAAATACAGGCAAACACAAAATATATGTTTAGCTTCGTCACAAATACAGGGCCTATGAACCAGGGTGTTTGTGCCCTCGAAGGTCAAGAAAACGAAGATTCTAACAACTTACAGATGGCTGAGAACTTTAACACCAACGTCAGTCAGTCAGTCAGTCAGTTGCAACGTAGAACTTCGTACGTATGTACATAAGTTCATGTTGCCATACCACATTATTAGCACAGAGACGCAAATGTCAAATCAAATCCCATAGTGATAAAGATGGTAGAGGTATAAATGTTATAACAAAGAAGACTAGGGTTTAAGATATTATTCAAAAAATATAATTCAGTGAGATAAGGTTAGAAAGACAAAGGTAGGGGTGCTGGCTAATCCAGAAGATTAGGATTTGAGAGAGCTCAAAGAGTGGATGCACCTGCGCCATTGCAAACGATTTTGAGCCATGTCGTTCAAGGTCTCTAACCATTGATGACTTTCGTCTCGCGGACCCCAACCAGGTAGTCTACATCTACCAACATGACTCAGTCCACTTGTCAGTGACTTCATGGATTTCTGCCATGTTTTGGTCTGGCCGCCACTGACTCTTTTCCAACCTACTCCTACACTACAAAACAAACCTTGTCGAGGCAGTCGGTGGTTAGGCATCCGTAACACATGTCCCAACCACCTCAACTGATGAAGTTTCACCACTTCATCGATTGATCTGCCATCCTTACCTAGTACTCGTTTCCTAACGACAGCATTGCTTACTCGGCTGTCCCACGATATACGAGCAATGCTTCTTAAACATCTATGATCGAATACTAGTAACCTACGAACATCTTCTACTCTTAACGGCCATGTTTCACAGCCATATAAGAGAACGGAACGAACTGCTGCGCAGTACACGCGCCCTTTGGTTAGCGAACGGATATCACGCCTACGCCATAAGTGACGCAGGTTGGCAAAAGCCAATCGAGCTTTCTGTATCCGAGCTGAGATTTCGTCAGTC